ACCCCCCCCTCCCTTCGGCAAGGGTTTCTAAGCTAGGGGGCCCCTGGCTAAACGGGGGGGGGGACTTCGAAGCTACCCCCCCTCCCTCCCTTCTCCGCAGCAGAAGGTGAGCCCGGGCTTCCCTTTCAAAGGGGGGGGGCTTCGGAAGCTACCCCCCCCTCTTTCGTTTTTTGGTCTGAGCACAGGGGGGGGGCGGCTTCAAGCTACCCCCTTCCACCCTCCTTTGCAAAGGGGGGGGGGCTTCCGAAGCTACCCCCCCCGCTCCCTTCCGGGGTCATGGCAAAATGGCTGAGTCCCTGCAGACAGGTGCGCGCCGCAGCGCTAGAGAACGCATTGGAGAATATCGTCGACTCCTGGTTCGTTTTCTTGTTTTCTTGTTTTCTCGGCCCCTGGATCGTAGTCTCGTTTTCTCGGGCCCTGATTTCTTTTATCGTTTTCTCGTTTTCTCGGCCCCTGGTTAGTTTTCTTGTTTTCTCGTGTTTTCGGCCCCTGGGTCGCGGTTTCGTTTTTTCTGACCTTGGTTAGTGTTGTCGTTTTCTCGTTTTCTCGGCCCCTGGGTCGTGTCTTGTTTTCTCTGACCCTGTTTCGTTTTCTCGTTTGTTCGTTTTCTCGGCCCCTGGGTCGTGGTTTTGTTTTCACGGGCGCTGGTTCGTATTCTCGTTTTCTCGTTGTCTCGGCCCCGGGGTGGTGGTCTCGTTCTCTCTGACCCTGCTTCGTTTTCTTGTTTCTAGTTTTCTCGGCTCCTGGGTCGTGGTCTCGTTTTCTCGAAACTAGCGTTTTCTGGTGATTTCGGCCCTTTGGTCGTGGTTTCGTCAGACCCTGGTTCGTTTTCTCGTATTCTCGGCCCCTGGGTCGTGGGTCGTTTTCGCGTTTTCTCGCTTCCTCGGCCCCTGGGTCGTGGTCTCGTGTTCTCGGGGCCTGGTTCGTTTTCTCGATTTTTGTTTTCTCGGCCCCTGGGTTATGGTCTCGTTTTCTCTGTCCCTGGTTCGTTTTCTCGTTTTCTTGTTTTCCGGCCTTGGTTCGTAGTCTCGTTTTCTCGGGCCCAGATTCCTTTTCTCGTTTTCTCGTTTTCTCGGCCCGTGGGTCGTGGTCGTGTTTTTTTCTGACCCTGGTTCGTTTGAGCGTTTTCTGTGCCCTTGGGTCGTGGTCTCGTTAGCTCGGACTTTGGTTCATTATTGTTTTCTCGTGTTCTCGGCCCCTGGGTTTTTGTCTCCTTCTCTCGGGCGCTGGTTCGTTATCTCGTTTTCTCGTTTTCTCTGCTTCTGGGTTTTTGTGCCGTTTTCTCGGGCACTGGTTTGTAGTCTCGTTTTCTTGTTTTCTCGGCCCCTGGGTCGTGGTCTCATTTTTCCTCGCACGCTGCTCTGGTTTATCGTTTGCTCGTGTTCTCGACCCCTGGGTCGTGGTCTCGTTTTCTCTGACCCTGGTTTGTTTTGTTTCTTCTTCTTCTCGACCCCTGGATCGTGGTCCCGTTTTCTTGGGCCCTGGCTCGGTTTCTCGTGTTCTCCGTTTCTCGGCCCCTAGATGGTGGTTTTTGCTTTGTCGGACCCTGGTTTGGTTTCTCGTTTCCTCGTTCTCTCTGCCCCTTGGTCGTGGTCTCGTTTTCTCGGACTCTGATTTGTTTTCTCGTGTTCTCGTTTTCTCGGCCCCTGGGTCGTAATCTCGGTTTCTCGGACCCTGGTTCGTTTCACGTTCACTGGTTTTCTCGGCCCCTGGGTCGTTGTCTCGTTAGCTCGGACCCTGGTTAGTTTTTTTCGTTTTCTCGTGTTCTCGGCCCCTGGGTTTTTCGGCTCGTTCTCTCAGGCGCTGGTTCGTTGTCTTGTTTTCTCGTTTCCTCGCCCCCTGGGTCGTGGTCTCGGTTTCCCTGACCCTGATTCGTTGTCTTGTTCTCTTGTTTTATCGTCCCCTGGGTCGTGGTCTTGTTTTCTCTGACACTGGTTCGTTGTCTTGTTTTCTCGTTTTCTCGGCCCCTGGGTCGTGGTCCAGTTTTTTCTGACCCTGGTTAGTTTTCTCGTTTTCGCGTTCTCTCTGCCCCTTGGTCGTGGTCTCGTTTTCTCGGGCCTCGTTTCGTTTTCTCGTTTTCTCGTTTTCTCGGCACCTGGGTCGTGGTCTCGTTTTCTCGGGCCCTGGTTCGTTTTCTCGTTTTCTCGTTTTTTCGTCCCCTGGGTCGTGTTTTGTTTTCCCTGACCCTGGTTCGTTTTCTCGTTTCCTCGTGTTCTCTGCCCCTGGGTCGTGATCTCGTTTTCTCTGTCCCTGGTTCGTGTTCTCGTTTCGTTTTTTCTCGGCCCCTGGGTCGTGGCCCAGTGTTCTCGGACCCTGGTTAGTTTTTTAGTTTTCTTGTTTTCTCGGCCCCTGGGTCGTGGTTTTGTTTTCTCGGACGCTGATTTGTTTGTTTCGTTTGCGCGTTTTCTCGGCTCCTGGGTCGTGGTCTCATTTTCTCGGACCGATATTCGCATTTTTTCGGCCTGGGTCGTGGTCTCGACCCTGGGTCGTTAGCTTGTTTTCTCGGACCCTGGTTCATTGTCTCGTTTTCTCGTTTTCTCGGCCCCTGGGTATTTGTCTCGTTTTCTCGGGCCCTGGTTCGTTTTCTCGTTTTCTCGGCCCTTTAGTCGTGTTCTCGCTTCCTCGGGCCCTGGTTCGTTTTCTCGTTGTCTTGTTTTTTCGGCCCCTGGGTCGTGGTTTCGTTTTCTCGGGCACTGGTTTGTTTTCTCGTTGTCTCGTTTTCTCAGCCCCTGGGTCGTGGTCCCGTTTTCTCTGACCCTAGTTGGTTTTCTCGTTTTCTCTGCCCCTGGGACGTGGTCCCGTTTTCTCGGACCCTGGCTATTTGTTTCTGACTTTGGTTCGTTTTCTCGTTTTCTCGGCCCCTGGGCGGTGGTCTGGTTTTCTCTGACCCTGGGTCGTCGTCGTCGTCGGTCGTCGGTCGTGCGTCATCCCTCGTCCGTCGCCGTCTTCGTATGACCTTGTCCTCGTCGTGACGACCACGACGAGGTCATGCGAAGACGGCGACATTGATGGCGACGGCGGCGACGACGACGACGGCGTCGTACGAAGACGTCGAGCGACGGCGACGGCAACGACGACGACTGGGGAGGATCGTTCGGCAGGGGGAGTTCAAGGGAGCGGGGTGGTAGCTAAGCCGCCCCTACCATTTGGAAAGGGGGGAGGGGAGGGTAGCTTCCGGCAGGGGGGGAAATTTGGAGGGAAAGCGGGGGGGGGCTTCCGGCAGAGGGGGGGGGGGTAGCTAAGCTCCGATCCCCTTTCGTAAGGGGGGGATGGGGGGGGTAGCTTCCCAGGTGCCGAAACGGGGGGAGGAGGCAGCCCCCCCCCTTTGGAGCCACATGGGGGGAGGGGGGGTAACTTCTGGCAGAAGGGTGTCAGTGGGATGGTGGTGGTAGCTAAGCCCCCCCTCCCTTTGGAAAGGGGTGGGTGGGTAGCTAAGGGGGGACCCCCCCCCTTTGCTCCGGCGGTGTGGGCGCGCTCTGTCCCACCTGCGCCCAAGGGGCTGGTGGTATTCCTTGCCACCCTTACCTGGGGTCCTGGCCATGCCCGAATGTAGTCGCAGATGATGGGCCTGGCCCCCGCCGTGCGCCCCGAGAGCTGGGCCGCCCCGAGGTCGCGGTGCGGCGGGGGGGCCCGCCCTTTTTGTTTGTTGCGCGCGGCAGGGGGCTGCGTTGTCCCTCAAGGTTGGGTCGCCGGTAGGCCCCTTCCGCAGATTTTTCGTCTTTTTGTTTTTTGGGTAATTTTTTTTCTCCGAGGCGTTGACCCCCTGGAATCTCGACCCGTTCCCCAGGCCGGCTTTTCATCCTGAGTTGTCATGTGACGGCCCTGGGGGCTGGGACACGGACTCCAGAGGCCGACTCTTGTAGGGCAGGTCCAAGGCTCCGAATGGGCGTGCACTAAAATCGTTTGTGCCCCATCAGCCCTCTTGTGACAACGTGCACCGAGAGTGCGTGCGAAGAGATTGTATGGCGTGCGGCGCGCACCCTTTGTGCTTCAGACACCACGCGCAGCTGTGATAATGGAAAAAAGCAGCGCGAAACTGCATCGTTGTCACCAGGGCCTCCGCCGCGACCCTGGGGGTCCGCGATGCTGTCCCCGCGGACTTGTGTCGTCGAGGCCTTGTGCCCATGCCCGATCGGGTTCACGGGCGCCCTTCCCGACGCGGCCGCCGTCGGTCCATCTCGGGAGGTCTTCTGCCCAAAGTTGCGGGTCCTACGGTGCCAGAATTGAAGGCGGTGCCCCAAAAGAGTTTTGAGTTGTGTTGTGCCCAACCTTAGTTCGGACGCGAGGATGTTCTGCACCGTTTGCCCGCGTTCATTTGGGGCACAAATCTAATGAGATCGAGCTTCTTTTCCCGGCACAACCAATTTTTCATGATTCATTTTTGGGCACGCGGCCGGTCAATTCAGGCATCCACTCCAGGCACCGTGCGGCGCCGTTTGGGGCTCGCTAGGGGTCAATCTCGGGCACGTGTCCAAGCATTCGAACGTTGGATTGCCAGGACCCCGTGTCGAATCAGCGCTGTGGTGTGTCGTGATGGCGCATTGTCGCTACGGGTTCGCGTTGCAAAGATGGAGTCCGAAGGGCCTAAAGAAGAGGCTTTGAGGGTATTGCACATTGCACAAAGAAGATTCGGAGACCAGGCAGGCATCGGGCAAAGAAGAGCGTGGGCCACGAGAGTATCGAAGAACACCAGGAAAGCAATCGCGAAGTACACCGCGCTTGAACAAAACAGAGAATTTCGAGCACCATTTGGGGCACACTTTGGATACCGCGCGGGGCACCGTAAATTTCTTGGACCAGCCCGTGATTTCACGAGTGGTTGTGAGAGTCCCAGATCCGAGGGGGCGTTGGAGGCCTGGGTGCCGCGTAGGGAAACGTTTCGCTTGGATTGGGCTCTTTCGGCGGACCCCACAGCCAGGCTGGGTTCGGTCTCGGCCGGGTTCGGATCGGACTGCGTAGCCCGTGCCGTCGTTCGCTGCGCTCCTCCAGCCCGCCCCGAGGACTGCGTGCTGGTGCCTGACCGCCTCCGGTGGCGGCTCGGCAGCTTCGGGGCGGGCGCGGGCGTCTAATGCCATCTCGAAGGAGGAGGAGGAAGAGGAGGAGGAGGAGGAGGAGGAGGAGGAGGAGGAGGAGAATGTATGTCCCACGCTAGTTGTCCAACCTAGCATTTCATTAGATCGAGGCCGACAGGTAGCTGGAAGTGGGGTCGCAGAGGAGGGGGGCGGGATAAGGAAGATAAACGCACTGTGGAGAATGGTCATCATCGCTACACAATGCCGTACATCTTGCAAGCCTTCTCTTATCGATTAGGGGCAGTCAGAAACGCCACGCGGTACACATAACTACTGCAGACGGCGCGGAAACACTGACTACCACGGCTGCAGGTTGACGAGCGACTAGCGCCTTTGAGCCTCAGGGAGAGGAGGGATGAGGAAGAGGGAGCGAGAAGTGATGAGGAAGAGGATGCGGATGAGGATGGGGATACGGATGAGGAGAAGAAGGATGAGGGGAGGAGGAGGATGACAAGTTCAGGGAAAGGTAGGAGGAGGAGGAGGAGCAGGAGGAGAAAGAGGAGGATGAGGAAGAGGAGGTCCGTAGCAATTTTGGCGCAATATGAAGCGGGTGAACCTAAACTGACATAGCGAATCCTGATCAGCTTTGGCTTGCGTCCTGAACATTGTTTTAGCGAGCGCTGTCGCAGCTGACAGCGCGGGGCCTGCACCGCGTCTCTCTTTTCTCTTTCACTGTCTACTGCTTCTTTTTGGCATCTGGGCGCTGTTCGATTGCGGCAGTTCGAGCAACAGCGGGCGCGACCAGGAATTTTATAGTCTGGCTGGTTGAGACTGCAGGTTGCGGCGGTAGTGGGGATTGTTACTTTGCCCATTTTGGCTCCGCAGCCGTGAGGCTCGAGCCAACAGGGTTGTGCCGGTGGGCCGTGGCCCGCCAGAACCGCGCCGCGCCGGGGGCGGCGCCGCGCGGGCGATTGCACTCTAGCGCCCGCGAGCCCGCGGCGAGGCGGACATGCCGCCATGTATGCTTATAGCACATTGCTCCATCATCGCTTTGGGGGCATGCTGAGGGACGTGGATGAGAAGTGGCCACCCTGGCTGGCGCCCCGACCTACTTCGACTACTGCTGCTGCAGCGGGGAGTGTGAGGATGGTGGCGAGGGGCCGAGCGTCGGCCAGCCGTGGCGAGCCCGATCAGCTCGCGACGCCCCCCCCCGGCGTGTCGAGGAAGGCTCCGAAGGAGGCCGTGCCCCCAGCGCCTCTTCCTGGCGGCGGGGACGGCAGCTCCGGAGGGGAGTGCGGCGTGCCTTGCAACAGGGAGGACGAGCAGGAGGCGGAGGAGGATGCGCAGGAGGAGGCGCCGGGAACGGTGCCAGCGGCCGAGGACGACAGCATATTCTTCCGCCCCCGCAGTGGCTGGCTCCGCGGGAGACGCCGCGCGGTGACCAAGTCCCGTTGTTGGGCGGCGCCGCGCTGCGGTCAGCTCCGGGGGCAGCACCGAGCGCTGCGGGCTGGCCCACGACCTTTCCGTGGACTGTTGCGCGTTGCTGGTTGCTGGTTTGGCTGGCTTGCTGGTCGCAGGCTGGCTGTGTCGCCGCCGTGTGGAGGCCGCGGTGGGCACGAAGAACTCAGAGGTGCGCTACTGGTCGTCCGCGGCGCTGGGCGCGGGTGCAAAGCTAGCCGCCGTCGAGTCGCCATCTGGCGATTTGGATAGGGAAATCACCGAGCTGGACCAGGCCCTCGACGAGCAGCGCCGAGCTTGCGAGACGGAGCTGACGCGCAGGGAGCATGCAGAGAGGCTGCGTGGCAACGCCGAGTCGACCGTGGGGGCGTTGGAGGTGAAACATCGGGTCGTCCTCAGCCGGCTCGCCGTTGCCGAACGGTGGACCTCGGAGCTGACTGGGCTGCGCGCGGAGCGGTTCGGGGCGCAGGTCAAGCGTGACGAGGTCGCCGCGGCCCAGGCGCGTGTCCAGGAGCTGGAGCTGGACCTGTGGCGTGCCTGGCGCGACCTCACCGTTGGGCTGAGGCTTGCCGACGAACTAGTCCAGCGAGCTCGGAGACTGGCGTCAGAGCTGGAAGCTATCTTAGTCGCAGCGGCGCGCGCGCTCGGACGTGGCGGGTCGGCCGAGTAGACGGCGGCGCTGGTCGCTGTGACGCGGCTGCTCGCCGCCGCGGTCCTTGAGCGACCCGGCGCGGGCTGGGGGACAAACCGGCTAGACGAGTTGGAGTGGATTGCCGGCGACCCTGGAGAGGTCGAACTAGGCCTGGGGGTCGCGTTGGACGCCGTCAGCGTCGCCGACGAGCGGAGAGACGGCATGCCCGACGCCACCTTCGACAAGGAGGTCCGCCCGGAGAGGAGAACCAGGAGGCGGAGGGGGGTGGCTACCAGCATCCAGGAGGGCGAGGGCGCCGACGAGGCGAAGGGTGCGGCGCAGCGGGCGGATAGCCTCACCCTCGGGGCAGAGCCTCGCGAGCTTCTGCGGGCCCGCCTAGGCGAGCCCGAGGCCGCGGTCGAGGCCGTTGGCGGGGCAGGGGCCTGACCGGCCGCGGTCGTCTCGTCGTCTCTGGCGGGGTGGCGGCACAGGGGCGGTGGCGGCCAGAGAAGAAAGCCTAAGCGCCGCGCCTAGCGCGAGGCGAGGAGAAGGAGTAGCGGCAAAAGAGGGAGGGGCCCCGGGGCCCGTGAGGGCCGACGTGCGCAGGAGGGCGGGGGAAGAAAAAAAGGGAAGGGGCAAGGCCGCGCCGAAGAGAAGAGGGGAGTAGAGGAAAGAGAAGAGAGGAGGGACGAAACGAGGAAGAGAGACAAGAGGGAATCGGCTAGGGAGGGCGAAGAGGGCGAAAGACGAAGAGGGGAAGAGGAGAGTGAGGGAGAGGGAGGGGGGGCGGGGAACAAGACGAGAGCGGGAAAGAAACACGAGGGCGAAAAGAGGAGGGGGGAGGGCCCGGCCGGCGAGGTTGCATCGTGAGAAAAAGAGGGGGAGGGCCCGAGGTGGGGGGGAGGGGGGGGGGCGAGAAGGAAAAAAAGAGAGAAAAAGAGAGGAGGGCGGAAGAGGAGGGGGGCAGAGGGGCAGAGGGTCATCGTCTGTGACCTCGGCTGGCATGGAAAGGAGCGGGATCTGGGGGATTGTCAGAGCAGGGAGAGGAGTTGTCCAGGCTGCTAGGCAGCAGGATCAGGAGCACGACGATGCGAGAATGGACGGTACGGAGAGTGGAGGGGTCGGGATGACACCAGCTTGCGCGACGCCGCGGGGGGGGGGCTTGGCGAGAGGCGCGGAGGATGATGGGGCGACCCGCGCGGACTTCCTCCCGCAAGCCATTGGGGTCGAGCGGGGCGCGCGGAGCTCTACCTGGCACTTGGCAGCTGGGCCTGGCGAGGACGGCGACGTGGGGGCGCTCGACAGAGACTCGGCACGCCGACGACATCCCGAGGGATCCCAATGCATGCGTAAAGTGCACGCGTTAGATTCAACAGAACGAAATATTCAAACAAAAGACATACACATGATTTTCTTTAGATTCGCTTCATTATCGCGCGCGGCATTGCATGTCAGTGTTTTTTTCATATCATGTTGTTTCCTCTTGGTTTGTTTTTCATTCTTGGTATGTTGTTCCCTATGGTGCTATGTTGTTATTTGGTGTTTGCTCTTAGCTTGTTATTTGTTCTTGACTGGTTTGCAACCTTTCCTCCCCTCTCTGGGTATTTCTTGTTGGTTTTCTATTGGTAATCCTTTTTCTCGCCCCGCTCCTCCTTTTCCTCCTTCTCCTCCTCGCCCCGTTCGTCCTCCCCCTCCCCCTCCCCCTCCCCATCCTCCTCGATCCTCCTCCTTCTCCTCCTCCTCCTCCTCCTCCTCCTCCTCTTCCTCCTCCTCCTCCTCCTCCTCCTTCTCCTCCTCCTCCTCCTCCTCCTCCTCCTCCCCCTCCCCCTCCTCGTCCTCCTATCGGTCGCAGGCGCGCGGAGCGAGGTGTACGTGGGCCGTGAAGAACGCGAGGCAGATCCAGACCAGCTTGCTCACGACATCTATCAAGCCAATCTTCAATCAATCGTGTCCTGAGAAGAAGGTTTTCGCCGCCAGCTAACAGGGCGCGTCGTCCATCAACCCGGGGCCGCTGCTACAGGTGGAACCTCGCGAGGGCGACGAGACGCCGATCGTGAACTGGGCCAGCGGCGACCTGCTGGCGCATGGCTTCGAACGCGCCAGGCTGGTGACGATGGTGCAGCCGGCGCTTCTTCGAGAGACGGGGTCGGCCGAGTGGAGTCTTTGGCCCACTGCATGTGCTTTGAAGTGGCGGGCGCGACAGCAATCAAGTGCGAGTTTCCACCTGGAACGCTGGTCCCTACAGCACTTGAAGATGAGAGTGAAGCTGAAGTGGCGCCGTTGTTTGTTGAATCTCTTGCAACCAGGCATTTTGGTCTCTGTGCAGGAGGCGCATGGCACGGCGGCGGGGGTGAGCGATCTGCTCCACCGCGCGCGCAACGATTTCTCTTTCTCTCCCTCCTTCTTCCTTCTCTCTGTGAGTCGTGGTGGTGTTGTCACCTCTTCCCATTTTTGAAAAAAATCAGAAGATCATTGTAACGTATGTAGTGTGGAACAGCCTATAGTATTTACCCATGGTGGTGGGAATGTCTTGAACTCTCATATTCAGAAATAAGAGTCTCAATGCTGATGAAAAACGTATGGTGTTAGATCACGTTGTAACTGGCCTAGCTCTAGCTGGGGAAGACCCCCTGTCTTGGACGATGATTTGCCGGTGATTTCAATTTCGACAGGACAACAACGACGGCGGGACGACAACTGCAGCGACGGCGAGGCGGGCCGAAACAACAGAAAACACAATGAGCAGGAGGTCGGGAATAGTTCGGACAACTGAGCTCCGTTTAGGATTGGATGCGTTGACGCAGCTGCTCAGGCTCAGACCAGTTTGTTTGTTGATACTTACATCAAGAGGAGGAGGAAGAGGAGGAGGAGGAGAAGTGAACAGTGTAAACCAAATGTCCATCAACGATCATCATCCCTGTCTTTCTCCCTTTCCCCCCACCTCCCGCCCGTGTTCTCCTCCCTCCTCTTCTTTCTCTTCCTCCTCCTCCTCATCCTACCCCTCTCCCCGTTCCTGCCGCAGGTGGGCAATTTCTACGTGGCGAACTGCGACAGGAGGGCCCCAGCGCTTATTCCTGGAGAGTTCGCGGAGGATCATCACACCACCCCTCGAATTGTCAGGGCCACGGGTGGCGTATAATCATCGATGGCGCTCGCATGCGTAAGTCGTGTTTTTTTTTTGTTGGGGGGTGCCTCGGGTATCGGTTTAAATAGTGACGTAAAAGCAGAAGCGCAATGTTCGAGAGTGCCACTGCATGTGCCAGCTATCCTCTTTGGGCCCATGACGGCTGTCAAATCACATTCGGCAAACGGTTCGATGTCTCTCCCTTCGTCTCTGTATGTTTGTTTGCCTGGTTGCTTGCCTGTCTGCGTATCGGTCTGTCTGCCTGCCTGCCTGTCTGCCTGTCTGTCTGCCTGCCTGCCTGTCTGTCTGTCTGCCTGTCGACTCCCAGATTTGCCGCCCAGCCGCCTAAGTCTGGCACGTTGGCAGCCGTGCACTCGGCGTGGTTCTGTGTGTGAGTCAGCCTTCCCTCCCCCTTTCTGCTGCTGCCCTTTTTGTCCCCAGTGTTTCGGCTCGGCGGTGACTCGGGCCGTCCTGTCGCTTCACCCGCACTGTGTATGTGTGTGTGTGTGTGTGTGTGTGTCTCTCGCTCTGTTCGCCCCTCCACGGCGCTCGCTCCCGAGGTATGTGGATCTCTGGTTCTAGCTGGGATCATGTACGGCTAGTTGAGCTTGCTGTGCCCTCAGGGTCGCCGTTCTGGAAACCAGCGTTTGGAGACTTTGTGCCGTGTCACGTAGTTGGCGGTCATTCCGCCGCCAGCGTAAAAAGAACGAAGTTTGTGTTTGTGCGTGTCTGCATGTGTGTATGTCTGTGTGTGTGTGTCTGCGTGTGTTCGGGTACGGCTCGGGCCGCGGGACGCTTCGCTTTCGCTTTGCGGGGTTCCGCCGAGGCAAAGTGTAATACCGAAGCGTTTTGATTTCCAAGCATGTGGCGACTCTCGCCGCCCAGCTTCAGACGACGGTCGAGAGTGACACATTTCTCGCAGGCCCGAGGCGACCGCAACAAGTGATTTCTGTAGCCCTGAGGGCCCACAGCGTTGCAACATGTCACATGTTTCTCTTCGAGGCCCCGTCAGTCCGTGACGTGTGGCAGCTCGCTCGCCTTCTGCGACTATGGTGACATGGCAACCGTCGTCCCCAGGGCCCAGGGTGGCGTAAAATATGGCCGATGCCTTCCCAGGGCCTCGAGGGTGATGGGGAAGGGGGTACGGAGTGGAAGTGGGAGTGGGAGGACCAGGGCGATGTCATGGTGATGGGGGGGTGAGTGGGGAGGGTGCTGGAGGTGTCTTCGCGGCAACCTGATCTGCTGAGGCCACAGTGCGCCGCTTCTGTATGATATCGAGGGTATGTTCCTTCCTTGGGTTCGTTGGAGGGCTCATTGGGAATTTCTTTTGGTCTTCGCTTGGGCTCTTCGCTTGGGCTCTTCGCTTGGTCTCGGGCCATCTGTGGGGGTCTTGGGACTGTTCTGGAGGGCCCCAGGGCCACCGCCACCTAGCCGGGTCCTGCGACCGCCCTGGGCCAGTCGCTGGCTGTCTTGGACCCGTTTCGGGGAGTCTTGGGTTGTCTTTGGACCATTTTTGGGGCTGCTCGGGCCTCTTCCGGGCCGTTTTGGGTGCGTCTTAGGCCTCAGGGGTGTCTGGGGACGGCTTTTTTTTTTTTTTTTTTTTTTTTTTTTTTTATTTTTCTCTTTTTTTTTTTTTTTTTTTTTTTGTTTATTTTTTTTTTTTTTTTTTCTTATTTTTTTTTTTTCTTTTTTTTTTTTTTTTTTTTTTGTTGCTTTTTTTTTTTTTTCTTTTTTTTTTTGGTGTTTTTGTTTTTTTGCTATTTTCTTTTTTTTTTTTTTTTTTTTTTTTTTTTTGTTTTTTTTATTTTTTTTATTTTTTTTGTCTTTTTTTTGCTCTTTCTTTTTTTTTTTTTTTTTTTTTTTTTTGCTTGTTTGTTTTCTTTTTTCTTTTGCTTTTCTTTTTTCTTTTTTTTTTTTGTTTTTTTGCTTTTTTTTTTTTTTTCTTTTTTTTTTTTTTTTTTTTTTTTTTTGTTTTTTTGCTTTTTCTTTTTTTTTGGTTGTTTTTTTTTTTTATTTGCTTTTTCTTTTTTTTTTTTTTTTTTTTTTTTTTATTTTTTTGTGTTTTTTTTCTCTTTTGCAGCTTCAAAGGGAATTCATCGTCAGAAGCAAAACATGAGCCAGCTTTTGTTTTTCAGTGTTTTTGATCTCCTATTTTCTGCAATGCATGTTGGAGGCCTCTTGGGTCTCTTGGAGGCTTTTTCGGTCCTCTTGGACGCTTCTTTCGATCTTTGTGGGGCCGGACGGTTTCTCCTAATGGTGAAATAAGCGTTTTCATGGTGAAATAGAAATCTTCATGGTGAAATAGAATTTCTTAATGGTGAAATAGAATTTCTTAATGGTGAAATAGAATTTCTTAATGGTGAAATAGAGTACCTTAATGGTGACATAAAATACCTTAATGGTGAAGTAAAATACACCACGTAAAAACATCACGTAAAGACTCCACGTAAAGACTCCACGTAAAGACTCCACGCAAAGACGCGCCGCTCCAGCGACGCACGCAAACACCACGCAAAGACGCGCCGCTCCAGCGACGCACGCAAACACCACGCAAAGACGCGCCGCTCCAGCGACGCACGCAAACACCACGCAAAACCGCTACGTGGTGTTTTTGCGTGGTGTTTTTGCGTGGTGTATTTGCGTGATGTCTAATTCACCCTCCAGCGTTCGCGTGGTGTTTTTGCGTATTGTTTTTGCGTGGTGTATTTGCATGGTGTTTTTGCGTGGTGTCTGATTTCACCATTAGGACGAACTCTCGTGGGGCCGCTAGGGTCTTCTTGGGCTCTCTTTAGGGTGTCTGGGGGGTCTCCGGGGCTATCCTGGAGGTGCTGTTGTGTCCTGAGGGATCCGGTTTGGATCTGCCCGCCATCCTTGGCCTAACCTCCATGCAGTCAAAGAGGGCATTCTTTCTTTTGGAGGAGGGCAGGGGGCGCATTAGATTCCCAGGCCCACGCACGTACAAGGTGCATCTGGGAAAAGGCGCGCAGCTTCTGATGTTGAAAGAGGCCCCTTGGGGCACCTAGCCATCCCATGTTCGAACTATGGGGAGGCCACTCCCGGAACAGCGGGCGAGTCAGCAGCTGAGACGTTCACTTACGTCAGTGCAGGGAGCTCATCCCAGCACGAGACAGAGGCCGACCGTAGACAGGCCTCCCAATCGCGCCAGAACATTGGCGAGTACAATCATGAAACGATGGACCTCTTCATGGATCAGGCCGTGAACGGCGCGATCGCCATGATGGTCAGCTCGACAAGGGACCACTGGTATCGATCTGATCGTCCAGTGGATCGCCATGAGATGACCAGGATACTGCTTGCAGGCGTCCACCACCAGGTGACAGAAGCAGCTGATAAGTGGGATCTTGACCCAATGACGAATGCTCTCCACCCACACCTGGAGGAGGCAAGGGACTGGCTCACTGGCAGCTCCAACGTGTCGAGGGCGGCCACGCCCAGAGAGGACTAGGGCACTATCCCGATTACGGAGGACAGGCCACAGGTCTTCCACATCGGAGACCCTAGCTCGTCGTCGCACAACACCGCCGAGCAGGGCACCAGTGGGGGTAGGACATGCTCGAGCGACGAAGTGCCGGGCATCCTACCCCACATAGATGGCCCTCGTTGACCAGGGCAGGCGGGCCCCCTGGCCAAGCCTGCTTGCTACCCCAAGGGGGGGCCAGAGGCACGGACGCACGCTCCACAACCAACCCGGAAGTATATCACTGTAAAGATTTGGTAATAGAAGATATCCGCACGGCTTCCGCCGAACTGCGCCGTCGAGGATATATGTGCGATCGTATAGCACACAACGAGGCAATGGCATCGAAGGGGACACAACATCTCGGAGGAATCCTATCAGGAGGCTGCGCTCTGCTCTGGGTGGCCACACCCGCTGACTGGTATAATAGGTTGCTAAGCAAACAGGCTGGGCCACACTACAAGAGAATACGTCACCTCCTGACCAAAGCACAAGCTTTCAGGATGCAAATAGCCTTGGAAGGGCCGCACGGATAACTCTGGAAATTGGCTCCAGTACAAGAAACCATCCAAAGCCTTAAACTCAGAGAGATCCTGATGCACTCATGCCATCTCGGCGTCAAGTTCGATCGTGTCAACGAGAGGCCCAGTGGCTCCAACATACAGGTATTTACATAGTGCACGAATTTACCAACAACGCTATGGAGATGCAAGTGTACATGTACCAAGGAGCATGTATTGGACTGGTACGGACACGACCAGCAACGCGCCGAATGGCGAAACAAGACAGTGACATTCCTGACAGCACAACTTGTGAACGAATTTTGTAAGCATACAAACAAACACAGAACGCAAGCTGACCTGCAAGTGTTCACTCGCACCGACACGTGCGTACATGGCTACCTACAGTCCAGCGACAGCGGACCACGTTGGGTCAGCGTAGTACGCCCGTTTACACTTGACCTTGACACACAGAAGGGGATTGCATTTATCGAAGTTTCGGGCCAACCGACAGGTTATAATTTCAAAGCACCGTTACCCAGTGGAGTCGGCAACATACGTACGAGACTGCACTGGGAACACAGCGCCCCCGGGGTTGTTCGGACACGGGCATGCGCCGCCAAGCCGCTAGAAACGAGTTACGTTCACAGAAGATGATCGCTCTCCTCCCTTTTCGACTGGGCTTGACGACGGAGTCCTGCCCGAAATGCCCACCTTTCCGATCTTGGCGGACACGCCAAACGTACAAACAACATTGCAAACAGATGCCCGGATAAAGCAATAAGAAAACCAAAGAGCTGATGAGGAAGCTGGCATCATACCGGAGAATCTGCCCAAACACGTTGAAGATGGCAACGACGATTGTGGTGACGACCTCAACGGTCTAGGAGGTGCCATGCTGTTCTCCGACGTGCAAGTAGAAGAGCTGGAGTCAGACGATGACGACAGCCTC